AAAAACGAGATAAAAAGAAAATATGGACGTAATCATGGAAAAATCATCAGTAAAGAAAGGCGAAAAGAATGATCGAATAAATTATTAATTAACAAAAAGAAAAATAAACATAAAAAACGAGAAAAGGTATGAAAAAGGAAAGAGTAAAGGTAAAAATAAAAGATTAAAAATAAAATTTAAAAAATAAGAAAAAAGATGAACAAAAAAAGAGAAGTCAAGATAACGTCATGAAAAAAAAGAAAGACGAAAAAAATAAAATAAAAAAAAGACGATGACGCAGAAGAAGAAATAGTAAGAAAAAGTAACGGGAAAGACAAAAAACAAAAACAAAAAAAACGGAAAAGTAAGAAATAAGTCAAAAAAAAAGTTGTGAAATAAAGGAAGCTGAAAAGTTCGGACAAAATAGATAAACATTTAGAGAGTAAAAGAAAAAATGTCGGGAAGGCGGAAAATGTTTTAAAAAAAAAAAAAAAAGTAAGAAAACATAGGAAAAGAGAAAAAGGTTAAAAACGAAGAAATAGTAAAGTAATAAAAATAAAGAAAGAAGTGGGTGCAGTAGAGAAGAAAGAGTCCCAAAAGTTGGTGGGGCGTACGCAAGGCTGGGACGTGTGCCTGACGGCAGATTGTGGCTATCCCAGGCTATGGGAGCATGGAACCAGAGGATGGATTTTTTTTTTTTTTTTTTGAGGGCCTGGCACGTGCCTTAGCGTTTACGTACCCCCCTATCATACACCCAGACTTGTTTTTTTTCCTTTCTTCTTCTTCTACACCTCAACCTGCAGCCTCTTGGTATTCACTCACCCACCACCCTAACTATAACTGTAGCTATTACCACTACAACTACTTACTGACTTACTTAATATTTAGACTAGAGTGACCCACCAACTCTTTCCTCTCAAATAAAATTCGCTTCTTTCCTGCTATACAGCAGGATGTTTGCCTCTTGCCTGTTCCACTCTCTTGATTCTAATATTGTTTCTCTTCATTTTCCGCTCAGCAAACTCCATCCCCATACCCCCAATCACCAAAATAAAATTTAAAAAGATCTACCCCATCTCTGTTCTATTTATCTAATAAGCATAGTTTAGTCTGGCACAAGGTCATAAATATGGCGTACTTGTAATGATAGGTAGATTTTTTTATTACTCAGTAATTAGTATTTGCAAGACTAGCTTCTTCAGGGCAAACCATTCCTATACAATTTCTGGCAGAATATTGTTTTATTTTGTTGTTATTGTTGTTTTTCAAATAACTTCTGTCTATTTTGGTTGGCATCTTCAAGACTACTAATGCAACCAGCACTGGTTCCAAGAAGAAAGAAACTGTGGGAAAATTTCAAGACACATTATCCAAACTTGCATACCATCATCATAAACAGCTACTTTTTTTCTTAAGTGCAGTAATTCAAAACAGTCATCATTATTAACATAATCATCGAGAACTCTTTTTACCTTTTATCAGCATGGCTGATGTTAACTTCCTGGAGAGCAATTCATTACATCGTTTTGGTCTCATATTTTCCACTGACATGAAGTAGAATACAGTTAGGAAAGTTGATTCACTGTGTTGTGCTAGACAGTTTTTCTTGTCAGAATCTATCTTACACATTTAGAAATCTACCATTCATCTATGCATTAAATATTGCTGCCATATCTGGTCTCATGCTCCTGCTATATATTTCAGGATTCTTAAAAAAAAAAAAATCCAAAGATAGATCTGTAATGTTATTAGTACTGATCTGGCATCTTGATTTTAGGCACTTTCCCATCACTGTAATGTCATTTCAATTTATCTTTTCTTTAAATATTTTCATGATAATTGTTCTGATGTGCTCTCTTTAGTATATCAACCACATGAATTTAAGCATATTACTGGATTGGCAAATAGGTCCCATTGTTTTACTGTTGCAATAGCAAGATGTAACCATTTTTCTATTCTAATGGTTTCTCTTCTTACACTTCTCACTTGCCACCTATGATCTTCAAAACTCTTAATGCAATATAAATCACCATCTTCTGTTTTCCTGAAACCTGTTCTTTTTATTGTCCTTTCTCCTCACTCATGTTTTCTTTGACTTTTACTCTTAGTAACCACTTGCATTTTAGTGGCTTTACCACCTTGCTTGGGGTGAAATGATCAGAAATATATATATATATATATATATATATATATATATATATGTGTGTGTGTGTGTATCACTAACTAAATTTCACAACCATGAGTTGTTTCCTGAATTACTTTTTAAATTTTCGCTTCATAAAATGTAAATATTTTACTTGAAAATATTTGAAAAAATATTTATTCTATGGATTTGTCAAAACCTAGTGAATTATATTTTGGGGATTACCCTGCCAGGACACCCACTAGTTGACATTGTTCAGGACTATAAAAGAACAGACATAATCCTTCCCCTCCTTTTTTGGCTCATTCAGAAACAGGGTGTTGTAGGTAGTAGATGTGTCTCATCTTCCCTTCTGAGGGAGACTTAGTCACCTTGCAAACCATTTACTTAATTTCAAACCAACCACGTGGACATCATACACACACACACACACAAACAATGGCTAAGTACATAAATGCTATCTTTGCTTTTTTTTTTTAACTATCTGTATATACACAAATATAAATTTCTGTTTTTTTGTCAGCTTTATGTTGTTCATGATATAAGCAAAGTTGAATAACATTGGCATCTGCTCACCTTTGTGTCCCAATGTAAACAAACCAATTTCTAAAGAAGTGATGTTTAATAAACAGAGCGTCTACTCAAATACAGGTAACCACTAAAATAATTTTTAAGTAATGAAATCTGTCAGATTAATAAATAAAAATCCATCACTTCTTTAGAAATTGCTTTGTTTACGTTGGGATACAAATCTGAGTTGATAGGAATGTTTGAAGAATCTGAGAAAGAGGTGCATTTATAAGGCACGCACGCACACACACACACATATATATATATATATATATATATATATATATATATATATATATCATATTTTTAAATAAATAATTATATATATATATATATAAGCAAATATATGGATATAGATCCGACAGTATGAAGAAAAATATACTGAAAAAAACAAACAAAAATCCTAATATGCGATTATGCTGTTTTAATGTTTAATGTCACCGTCGGACGTTTCGGTCTAATAGACCATCTTCAGGACATATTCATAAAACATAATTAACATAGACCATATACAATTCAACATGAAAAAGACGATGGACATAAAACCAATACTAATCCAAACAGATAACTGAAATCTTTTATAAGATCAGCGTTCTGTTTAAATATGATCACGTCGTCGTCACGTGGGCGATGTTGTGAAAACGTATTCCTAAAATTTGAGTATTTTGAATGAAAAACGAAAAGACAACATCGCCCACGTGATAACACGATCATATTTAAACAGAATGCTCATCTTATAAAAGATTTCAGTTATCTGTTTGGATTGGTATTGCTTTTATGTCCATCGTCTTTTTCATGTTGAATTGTATATGGTCTATGTTAATTATGTTTTATGAATATGTCCTGAAGATGGTCTATTAGACCGAAACGTCCGACGGTGACATTAAACATTAAAACAGCATAATCGCATATTAGGATTTTTGTTGGTTTTTTCAGTATATTTTTCTTCATATATATATATATATATATATATATATATATATATATATAGACAAAAGGAAAACTTATTTTAGCCAATATCTTTCATCCTCTCAGGGATTTTATCAAGGCAAATGTAAGGATTTTATTTTGTAATAAGTATTTATATACAAGAGTAAAAATATTATTTGTTTTTTAAAATTTTTTGGTATAGGAGTGCTTATGAAAAGCCAATAACATTTTTGCTCTTGTATATAAATACATGTCACAAATAAAATCTTTACATTTATCTTGATAAAGTCCCTCAGAAGAGGAAACTTGTCGGCTAAGATAAGTTTTCCTTTTGTCTTTATTCATACTGTCCTTTTACAGATATACTCTTCTGAAATTTTTACACACACACACACACACACATATATATATATATATATATATATATATATATATATATATAATTCCTCCATGTGTTGAAAATCATTTCTTTTGAAAGTTTTCATCTTAATCAGCTGCAACAAGTAGTAGCAATTTTCCAAATGTAGCTTAGATGTGGCACAACGCCGAAAGTATGGGGCACCCAGTGAGGATCGAACTCACTACTCAGTTGTAATTGTTCTAGTGAGACAAGCTTGCTAACCATTACACCATCTCAAGTTGCCCCAGCTGCAACAAATAGTAAGACTTTATATTACAAAAGCAAAATACTACATAGGATGAAAAGACTGTTTTCTATTCATTCTGTACACTTACTCAGATATGGATCATTAATGATCAGGGTACTTCAGAGGATAATTTTTTTTCTGTTAATGTACTTATAAAATTGTCTGATAAATGACCAGTTGAAACACACAGGGTTTTTCCGCTGATAAGTTTATCATTTATAGTTTAATGATTTTACTCTAAAATGCAGGTTTTCTAGATTAAAATTTTTACTATAAATGCATCTTTTGTGAAATAGAACTTTCTCTCTACATGGATTATGTGTCTCATAATAGGATTTAAGATACACTCTGGTCTTTTGTTTGTAAAGTGGATTTTCTGTTAAAATAGTAAATTTTCATTCTATTATATTCTTTGAAAGAACAATCTCCTCAAAATGAATGAAAAATTAAAAACAAAAGAATTTATATGACACATGATTGATTGATTTGTTTTTTTTTATGGCTTATCGATCATTTGTAGCTTATTTAAATCCAGAAAATATTTCAGGGTTATAAGAATTTTTTTGAGATGATAATGATTTACTGATATATATCTTACTATTTAACCCATAAGTGGGGGAAGAGGTGCATTCATACTTTTCCCAAATATAACAAACCTGACTGGAATTGGAAATCGGCTCTCCAGTTTCAAAATCCTAGCCATTATCCCTTACACAACCCACACATCCATGCTTACAGCACCCAGTATTCCTGAGTGGTTACCCATCCAGGTACTGAGTAGTCTTGATATTGCTTAACTTCAGTGATCACACGAGAACTGGTGTTTCAATATATGACATGAATATCCATTTAACAGTCCAGTGGCAGTTATAAACAAAGGTGGTTTCTTCACATGTATTTATTTGGTGACCAACTCTGTTTATTAAGCAAAAATAAAAGATGATTTTTGAAACGTTATTCTGAACATTGCCTTTAATGAACAAGACTGGTCACTAATATGCAGCCTGGCCTCATGCTGTTAACAATTCCAGGATCTTGCTTATAATTAATGTACATAATAATTAATATGGATGAGTTTCTTTATCTTGATTGTTTTCAGCACATTATTTTGACTGATGTATTCTCCAGCCATCTTTAGATGTCTTGAGATTATGCTACATGTCTGTCAAGGAACTTCTGCTGATGCCAAAACGCAGAATAAAAGATAGTGGCCTACAATCTTTATTTTAGCTACAAGTTACCTTAGAGGTAGGATGTGTCTTCTTTTCTCTCTGGGGGGGGGACTTTTGGCTACCAGCAAACCTAATGATGTATTGAACTCAACAGAGTACACAGCATACAATGCTCTAAGCTCAGTGGACTATACATACCAAATTCTATCAAACCATGTCTTTTCAAAATGTGGGGATCTCTTGATCTCTTAAATAAATCTTTAATCTTTTTTTCATAATGATGTTCACTCTGTACAAAGCTTGAGGGCCACTCAAGGTAGAGGGTTACAAAGTAAGAGGCACAAATTATACAAATATGCGTGGAAGATAACAGTTAGCCCTAGACTTGAACAGGTTAAGAGTGTGATGATTGAGGAAGCATCCTTTGGAAGCCAGTTCCACATGTTAGCATACAAAAAAAGAACACACATTCACTTACCTCTTTTTATCTTTCTATTTAGTTTGTTAAGGCAATAAAATATGTTGTTGCTAATTGTACAATATTCTTTGTAATGTCATTCATATTTTTAGTTTTAGAAAATTCCCACAAAAAAAATATTACTCCACATTTTTTCTATTTAGTTTATTAATTACTAATAATATCAAGAAAAATGGTAATCCCACGACAGGTGTCCATCAGATTTGGTAATCTTCTGTGGTTTTCCAGATGTGTGGGTGGTGTAAGGGATAGCAGCTTGGAATGAGAAGTTGGAGAACCAACTTCAAATTCCACTCAGGTTCATTACATTCACTTAAATGCAAATACTTTTGGAAAAGGTATGAATCCATATATACCCCCCACCTATGGGTCAAACAGTAGGAATGATTGTTTTCTCAAAAAAATTGTTAATGTAATATTCACTTGAAAAAAGGAATTATTTGTACAATTCAAAATATGTTTTGCATTTACCTACAAAGGGTTGATATAGCATAAAAAATAAAAAACCCTATCAACCAATCTGTATATTTCCAATCAAAATCTTTATTTATTCTCTGGGGACAGATTTTTCTAATTTTATTTTTTTTTAAATATTTTTTTCAATAAATTCTTCCCTGGAGTGCCACTTTTTGATTTTTCACAAAATGTATAATTATCATTGCTTGACCCAAGGATTGAACTCATAAAGATTGAAGAAGGTCAGAGGATATTCTGATCAATGTTTCTGATTATAAGAAAATAAAGACACAAATAAATTAAATGATAATTCTTTATCTCAGAAGTTCAAACAGAAATTAATTTTGCATTAATTTTTGGAAATAACAGATTTAATAATAATACGTTATTAACTCCAAAAATGGCTTCACAGGAAAAAATCATATAAACCTTAAAGATGATCTTTCATCAGACCCCTGCAGACTACAGAATCACAAAGAACTTTACCAAATAACAAAAACCACATCACCTGAAAACTTTCAACAGCCACAACAAATATAATGGATGGCACATGTAACTCAAATGGAAAATCTATACTATCTTTAACACACTGCATTATTAATATTATTTCCCTTTCCACTGCATTCTTTTTCAAGGCTTCTCAATTCCAGTAACCTTATTGTTAATTTCAATCAAAGTTGTTTTCTGTTGCCATAGCAGGATATGACAACAAGTATGGAATTCAAATTCAGGGTTTAGTCAACTTCAGTGGCAGGATAAACTTTTTTTTTTTTATATAGCAAATGAATTCTCATACAGAGTGATCAAGGTTAATCATTGATCTGTTGTATACATAAGACAATTTAGATATTTCTGAATGGGATGTGATTACTGTTATTTGGGAAAATTCTTTGTTTGTGATTCTGTAGCACCAGTCTCTTAAGATCTTTTGAAGGATTGTCTTCTTTTGCACCAAGAAAATTCATTTGCTTGGAGCCATTCTTTGATTGTTTTCTGAATTTCTGGGACAAGGAGTTAGCTATCCACCCATCTTCCAACATCCACAAATATTTAAACTTACAACTATATACAATATATGGTGAAGTTAGGTTGCCAGCTATCATCTACGAATATCTTTCTTCCCAATAGCTTGAGTCTGGATGTTGTTTGTAGCACATGTTGCTCTCACCTCTTCTCTGGGCTGAACTGAATCTGACTGTGGCAAGGGCCCTTCATTAATCTCAGTTGCCCCTACTGTAATAGAGACACTAACTCACCTCAGTTACCTGTTTGCTAGGCAAGGAGGTCTATCTAAAGCTTTACATTTCTTTGTAATTCTTTAGTGCCAGTCCACAAGGTTTGAAGGTGGATGATCTTTGTTAAAACCTACAGGCTTAATTTTCTGGAAGCCATTTTTAACTTTTAGCATTTCTCTTTCCACTGCATTCTTTTTCAATGAATCTCAATTGCAGTATCCTTATTGTTAATTTCAATCAAATTTTTTCTTCTATTGCCATAGCAGGATATGACAACACAACTATGAAATTCAAATCAATTTAGATTCAAGGACCAGAGTCACCTTCAGTGATAGAATAAACTTTTTGTACAGTAAATGAAGTCATAGTGATAAAGGTTAACTTTCCACAATAACAAAAACAGAAGATATTAAATGAATAATCACAGTAAACTTAAGAAGTTTGCTTTCTTAAAAAATTGTTTTAAGAAAAATATTTGATAAATTTCATCCTACAGTAATATGGTTGGGTCCATGAATATTTAATGTTTCCTGTATTGAAATGGTTAATCATACCATTTTATGACTAAGTCTGTGGAATTTAGTTTTCAAAAGTCGATTCAAATGAATAAGAATTCTTACCTTATCAGGTGCTACAAAATTTTGTTTACATTTCAGAATCTAGAAGAGATAAAATATATTTCTCTCACTCTCTTCATATACAGGGGACAAAAGTAGGTATATAGTAATGAAAAACAAATTTAAATGAATGCTAGTACCACTATTATAATACTGGTATAATACTTACAGTATACCTACTTTTGCAGCCCACTGTATGTTGCCTTATGACGTAAAAACAAAGTAGTTATTTTAAAGAGCAAATATTTATTTTTCAGCAACCCTGATTCAGTAGTAAATGTTATTCCAAACATGATACTCACAAAATTTGAGATCAAAATTCAGTTTTTAATTATGAGTGGATGCTAAAAAGTGTTTTCCCACCCCACTTCTCAATGAAATGACCCAACATCAAATTTTTTTAAAATCCTTTCATAGTTGAGCTGAGAACTTTCACCTCTTGAACATGACAGACTAAAAACTTATTAATCTATTCTTATATACCAGATACATTTCTCTATAAGTTGAGCCTCAAGATACTTAGGTATTAATCTATATTTAAGCCTAAATTTGCCAGGTGAATCATCCATTTAAAATAAGGATTCCTCCTTCCTTCTCACTGATAATTTTGGAGAGTCTAATTAAACATGCATTTTCTGCTTAAAAAAAAAAATTCAATGTACCAACATTTTCAATATGTGTTGGCATGCTGAAAAGTTTTCAGCCCGACCAGGAAGAGATGCAAAAGTATCTCTTGAATGATTTGGTCAATTTTGGAAAATTGTTTAGGCCAGTAACATTTCAGCACTACCTCATATATATATATATATATATATATATATATATATATATATATATATATATATATATATATTTGGTTGGATAGATGTGAGTTTGTGACCCTGGGTTTCACGCTTTAGCGATCGTCAGACAAACTGATTAATGTTTTAAAAATTTGGGTTTATGTAGATTGCGTGTATTGGTGTTATTGTGGAAGTGGTGGGGAAATTTCGTCGTTTTGTCATTCATCATACTAACGCAAACATCGATGTATGCAGACACATATACATGAGCTTTCTAATAAGTACAACACATTATAATATATAAATAATTATACATATATATATTTATTTATATTTATATACACTTTTCACATATATATATATATATATATATATATATATATATAATGTGTGTGTGTATTTATTACTGAATCATTATTTTTAGTGGATACTCATATTTAAGTAGACAATCTATTTACTAAACAGTATATATTTTCATCTCCTGGCCTGAATATTTGAGAAATCTTATTAGAAAAATATTCACTCTCAAATATACACCACAAAATAGGGTATCTATGCTAACATTAATAAATTTACTTTCGAAGTAATAAAAATATTAAATTAATAATTAATCCATGAATTATTTAGAAATATATACTGTCTAAATAAAAAAAGAAACCTTATACACACACACACACTATATATATATATATATATATATATACACTAAATATGTATAAAAAAACTCTTTATTCTGCAGTCAACACCATCAGATGACTATACACCAAAAGTGTTGAAAAAAAAATGTCTGTTTTTGTAGTTATAACATGCTTATGTTACAATTTTTGAATAAATACTATTTGCACTACTCTGTATTGAGCACTCTTTTAAGAATAGTGTTTTTGGTTAATGGAATTTTATTTAATCTATACCAATCCTCTACTTGTATGTATGTGTCTATATATATATATATATATATATATATACATACATACACAAAGTACAAGATTGGTATAAAATGTTCCTTCCTTATTTTTTTAATATATATATATATATATATATATATATATATATATAGCGTTAATGGATTTATTATTAATTTACATATTCA